TGAACCAAAATATAAAATATATATTTTGCATACGACTTGCAACTTTTTTTCAAGATAATAATTGCAATAATATATGAATTATATATTGTCATGTTTTATATTGTACATTTCTAAAGGCTTCGCACAGCATCCTTATCTGCATGCATATAAATTGCGATACCCTCTTTCTCGCTGTGTGTAGGCTTGTATCAATTTGTATTCCAATTAATCAAAGAATACAGTGATTTATTAGATTCGAGTAGCTTTTTTTACCCCGTAAAGTTTATATATTCTAGATTAGAATTGAAATTTTTGCTACCTCAAATTAAGCAAAACTTTTAAGTAGTAACCACAATGTTGAAAATACAAGAAAAAAGACTATAAATAATGATCTTATCTACCAGAATGCCAAAAGTCATGACATTCGGACTATTTTTATAGCCAGGAAGAGGAAAATAATTGTGGGCCTCGACAAAAATGTTTCATGAGGTATCTACCAGTAGCTGAGTTTTTTGGCAGGGTTTTCTGGGTAAAGAGTGTGAGCGGGAGAGAGTGCAGCCATATAAACCGAGGGGCGCTGCTGCATGACTCCCCTACAAGCAGGAAATTATGATGAGAAACATATTCATACAATAAAAGCGCAAGTCTGAACTGTTGAAAGTATCTGTAGATACATTACATAACTTACAAAAGATACTATTGCAAAGATACAAATAATTTGCGCTAAATGAAAGTGAATGGTACACAATTATAGTGGAATGCTGACTATGGGATTGTCTTACTATTATATCGATCTGTGAAATGTGAACGATCTAAAGATATTCAAACTTCCTTTCGTTTACAGAGATACCTTCTGCCCCAGATTGGGTTCTGTTTCCCAATCTTGTTAGGCTTCTTCCTGTTTTCTATGACAGCCCGGTTATTATGTCATCTAATCCCCAATTTCGAACACGCATCGCATCGCATGCCATTTGCCCCACACAGAACTCAATTAAAAGTCCATTATCCACACCATGGAACAGAACTAGCATTTGGGATTTGTTTAATAAACAATTTCCGCTTTGATTTGTAGGCCCAGGCCCCCTCTCCCCTCTCCAAATCATAGGTAATTAACGTGATGGTTGCTTCTGTGCTTCTGTGTCTGCGGATGGGCAATTATGGCACCCCGCTTTTGTGGTGTGAAGAGTCACCCGCAGAGTGGGGTCAAGGGCCGCCTGGCTCCAACCCCTCAGGTGGTGCATACGCTTGCCTCTGTTGGTAGGAAGTTGCAGCTTCCTTTTGTCGGGCCAACAGTTGCGCGATTCTTGGCATTCTTTCCATAAAAATTAGCTTGCAATTTGCTCTGGCTTCAGCCTCAGCCCTTTGTCGATTGATTGTGTTGTGCGGATTCTTTTGCACACAGTTCGATTGAAGTCGAAGTCGAACTCCAATCGTCGGCATCGTTTGGTATTTTCTTCCCTTTAAGCAAAAGCCGACAAAATGCGAACCTCAAGAGAGAGAGAGAGGAGTGTGGGGCGGCGATGTCGTTTAAGGCCATTCGATTGGCATGCCGTCGCTCTCTTTGGGGTTGCATTTCATTCTAAAGTATCTGCGGGATCCATTAGTACTTGTATCTCTCTGCTTGGGGACCTGCCTCTGTAATCAATCAATGCATCATAGAACGATGGAGTCTGGTGGACTTCCCTCTTTTTTTTTTTCCAGACTTCCACCGGAAAATATTTGCTTCCGTTCTGTTGTTTTTCCAACCATTCTATGGAGTGGAGTATGGCAAATAAATTACAATTAAATGCAAGAAGCATGCAACAGGCACAGACAGACAGACAGACAGAGAATTGCTGTATCCAGCGGATGTGCGGAGTGGGCTACCTATAGCGACAACATCATTAGCCCCCACACCACACCATACTCCACTCTAGAGTGGGATTCTGGGGGCCCTTTTTCCTCCGATTGTAACGACAGTAAAAGTGGTCCATGCTAATCCGGAAGTGGGTCATTTTCCCCGAACGCAAATGAAAGCGTGTGCCCTGCCCCCTGCCACCGATTCGAAGCGTTGAAAATCATATAATGAATGAATGAAACACATGCTGGCAGCACGGAGCTGATAGTCAGCCATGGGAAATTGAAACCGAAAACTGCAGCAGTGGAAAGCCCCGAGAAGAGAGTCACGGAACCAACAGAGATATGGAGGTGGAGATGGAGAGATGGAGAGAGAGTATCATCATCATCATAATCATAATAAAGCAATCAAAATGAGGGAATAAGACATTGTCTCCTATCCCTCTGTGTGTGGGAAACTCGCTGACAGATGAGATATTGTCTTCAGACTTATGCAAGAACATCAATCGAAAAGCGACATGGTGTTGAAAGTTAAGAAAATTAATTAGAAAAGCAAAAAGCAATGAAAACCAAAGAAAAATACGAATGAGAAATAAGATATTTGCTGGGAGCCCTGCTTAATTCGAGATATGAGGCAGAGATCGGAGAGACTTTAAAGTAAGTTTTCGTTGCAAAAATTCTTGAGGAAAATTGTGCAAGAAAAACATTCTACGGAGTATCTTATTGTCGCGGCACGTGTAGGAATGCTAAAATTGAGTAGAATATGTGTAAAGTACGCTTAAAATAGGCAGACAAAATTTGCTCTTTAGAAATTTACATCCTTATAAAATATTAAAATTACGGATGTGCTTACAGAATAAAAAACTATCTTTCGATTTGCTGCTTGCATAGTCCTGGGCGGTAATTCTGCTGTAAGATTCCGCTTTCTTCGCCTTAATATCTGACACTCCTTAAGCAAGTGAAGGGAAAGTTTTTTCCTATTTCAATTAAATTAAAGAACATTTTTGTAAATATTTTCAGTGTCTTGGAAAACCAGAAAATAAGCTACCTGAATTTTGTAGATCACAAAAAAAAAAATAAAAAAATAAAAAAAAGAATAACATAAAAATTTAAATTAATTAAGCAAATATTAAAGTAATCTATGCACATATATGTATGTATGCTGAGGTAGCATTATTAAATCCGGCTGAAAATTAAATCTTGAATGCAAACCAAACTGAAATATTTTGTATGCCCCGCCGCCTTATAAGGTAACTTCCAATATTCTATCAATATTCCATATGAAATTTGTTTAGTAGCAAACGACTTTTGGCCATATGTAGTAGATCTGTTTCAGACACCACGCAAAATGCGAGTAACTTGCGCATAATTTGGTAGTAAATTCAACCATTAAGAAAAGACAAGACACCTACCCATAAAGACTGGACGACTGACCGATCGCCCACATATCGGAGCAGGGGCAGAGGCAGGGGCAGGGGAAGGGGCAGGGGCAGGGGCAGTGGCTGCTGCCATCCCACATTCAATTCCAATTTTGACGCGTGCGCAGGCGCAAGTCTTAATTTGCATATCCCCCAACGAATCGAAACTGTGGGGGCGACCCTACGATTTTGATTGTTTCACATTCTACGAGTTTGAAGCCAAAACGGATGTCTTGGATCTCTCTGGCTGCAGTTTTACTTTCGCTTGGGAGACAATGAAGCGGCCGTCAGATCTCTCTCTCTGAAGAGTTCTCACATTCATTTTGGGGCCTGCGAATTGCACATTAAATCTGCTGTGATCTTAATTATACTTGAAAATCTTTTAGAGTACATATCACGAACGTATCGTAAGCTCTTGGCTCCAAAAGCGTATCTTTTTGCTTATACAAAAACCATATCGAAATGTTATTTCACAGCAAAAGTCGGGCAGAACCAATGTTTAGAGGTGGTTTCTTCTATATATAGAGGAGTTTTGGCATCAGAAATATTCATTCTTTTAGTATGGGGTCTATTGGTCTCCTGGTTTTTTGTAAGTATTTTTAGCTGAGAAATATCTTTAGAAAGTATTGAAAACAAATTGTTTTTCTTAGTTTCCTTGGGGATGGCACTTGGGTCTTCGGCCTATCAGATGCCGATACAAGAGGGTAGGAGGATTTTCCAAAGCCAGAAACAATTAGCTCAAATGAATTTTGCAATGTATCAGCAAATACAACTGGATCAGGAAACCGTAGATCGCCAAATAGTCGAAAAAGAGTTGGCACTACAGATGGCCGCTAAACAGTTGTTCGAAATTCAGCAAAAGTTGGTGGAAACCCAACGGCGACTATCGGGTTGTCAACCGCAGCAGGAAACCAGCTATGGAAACCGGCTCCTGGCTTCGATATAATGCCAAAATTTTCTGGCGACCCAACAGAAATGAGAAGGTTTTTATTATGCCATTTGACCCACCAAATCGGCAGATTATTGGATCCACTTATCTAGCCCTGAAAATAAAGCAATTTTTTCCTTTTCTTTATTCATTTCTTCTATCCATGGAATATATCAGAAAAATGTATCTTATATACAATTTCAATGAAGAAAACTTGGGTAATTGTTTACTAAGTGTTCTTATAGAATTTTAAACTTGAAATTTTATATACAGGGACTTTAGATTTCTGCTCTGGGAATATGGATGATCTGAAGATTTGCCAGGTCGTCAGCACTGCGTAAGTTTCCTTACGAATCCTTTGCTAAGACCAGGAAAATTATCGTAAAATTCCAGATCGTTACAAAAAAAAAAACTACAAAATACCAAAAAATTTAAAACATTCCAGAAAAGTACTAGGAACATGCGATACAATACTAGAACAAATATGCTATAGAAATATAAAAAAAAAACCACCTCTATGGGTTTTTTTCACAAATAAAAATGTACAGAAAAGTATCATAAGACTTCCAGCAAATACTAATACAAAAATATTACCCATAAAAATAAATAAAATTGGTAATACTTTTTTTCGAAAGAATTGGGCGCTCGTTTTGGTTTATTTTCAGAGGATCTGTCGAATCGGCGATTATATAATGTGACCTTGCATAATCGCTAATCGATGAGGAAGAATTATGTTATTAACCTTTATTCCCAGTAAATGTTAATCGAAACGAATCGCAAACGTTACACAATTTTTGAATACAAAACGTGGCATAAAGAAGAGACTTCCCAGAGCAATCCAGCAGTTGAAGGATCGCCTTCTTCAAGATGAGGTTCCTTTTGTTAGTGTGCACCGCAGCACTGCGTAAGTTTTTTTTGATGGAAAGAAAGTGTTGATCGCACCTTAACTTAAAAGTTTATATATGGATCAGTTCTATCGGTCACCGTGGCAGAAGATGATCCCCCAAAGAGAGATGAACTGGAAGAGCAAAAGTCCCCGTCTCCTCCAAAGAAAGATGATCCAGAGGCGGCAACGTCTCCTCCAAAGGCCGATGAACCAGAGGCGGCAAAGACTCCTCCAAAGGAAGATGATCCAGAGGCGGCAACGTCTCCTCCAAAGGAAGATGAAGCAGATGACTCGAAGTCACCTCCAAAGGAAGATGAAGAAGATGACTCGAAGTCACCTCCAAAGGAAGATGACCCAGAGGTGATAAGGTTCCCCTGGGAATATGGCTCGATGGGTAACAGGGTAGCACAGGCAAATCCATACCCACGTAGATATTGGACGAATAGAAGAAACCAACAAGAGCAGGCCATCGGGAGGATGGCTAAAAGGATATCAGAAATGCAGAGAAATTACGCTTTGTCCAAGGCGAAAAACATGACATTAGCCGCGAAGATGGAAGCTTTTAATAAGAAGTTGTACGATGTGACAATGGATCTGAGAAGGGCTGAACAGCAGATAGAAAATTGCAAGGATGTCGATACGGGAAATCCATTGATACCTCAGCGGAATGTGAATAGTCCTAGCATAGGCCCTGTCTATACTTTTAGGTACATCCGTCTGCTAAGGTACCTACGTGTGAATATTGACAGGGAATTAACGGCTGTCACGAACTTGAAATGGAGTAGAGAGAAGGGAAAGTAGTCACAATAGTCACTGCACTTCTGAGGAAGATTGTAAAACATTTGTAATAAATTGTGATCAATAAATCGTAGCAATTGCTTGAATAAATATAAATCTGTGGATTAAATGAACACGTATTGCCAGACCACGTTAGACCTCATTTTAAAGAATTTTTGAAATCTTGAAACCATTATACATATGATAATGAAAAATATACTAAATATACTACAAAAATGCTGTAAAATATACTTAATGTATACGACAAATAAACTTAATAATACTGAAATATTCTACAAATATATTGAAATGTACAGAATGTATACTGAACATTGAATACCTCGATAAAGTAGCCTTAACCACAGCCCTTAGCCACCCTTTCCATGACATTAGTTCCACCAAATTTAAAGTTTGCAAAATCTATGAAAAACCTTCAAATAACATACTTGTTATATAAAAGCAATAATTGAATGAAATCTCATTCTTTATAGTGATCCAAAGTGGAAAATAGCTCCATTCATTTTTTCACAGTTTACAACAGAACTTTCCACCATGAACTACACTTCGTTGCTATTTATTTGCTGTAAGTCCGCCCCAAATATTCTAAAAGCTGATCTACAGATCCTGACTTCCTTTCGATTTTAAAGGCAGCATATGTCTCTGGCGATGCAGTGTTGGTGTAATTGAAAAAATTCCACTTGTACCCGAAATTACGAATGCAGTAAAGGACGGCATCAATAATATCAAGAAGATAGTCGGGCAGTAATTGTAATAACAGAAACCCTTTAGATACGAGTATTTACGAGTATGAAATATATTGAAAATATACTAAATCAAATACTACGAAAAGTTGCCTTTAACCAAGGACCTGCAAAACTCCTGTAATGGGATTTGTTTCAAACTATGAGTCTGCAAAATCTTGAAAAACATTCAAATAACATACTTGATTGACCACGAAACTAATTCAATGTAAAAGTTTATTCGCTAAGGTTATCAAAAGTCGAATGTAAGTCCTCCATGAACTGCACTTCGTTGGTATTCATTGGCTGTAAGTCCTTTCCAAATATACTAAAAGCTCTACAGATCCTGATATCTTTATTTAAAGGCAGCATATGTCTAAGGGTAGGAAGAAACAGAAACCCATGAACATACTACAATTATGTTGGAATGAAATATTGTATGAAATATATTAAAAATATACTAAATCATAAAGATCTTTAACTAATATATTTGATTTACCACAACACTGATTGCGTAAAAAAGCTTATGATTAAAGGTCGGAGGTAAATCCATGGATATTTCCACAATTTACAACAGAACTTTCAACCATGAAATTTAAAGTCTGAGACATCTCTGAAAAACCTTCAAATAGCACACTTGATTTACCACCAGAAAACAATGTAATACAATATAAAACCTTATTAGTTATGGTGATCCACAGTCGAGTGTAAATCCCATTAATTTTCCTACAGTTTAAATCAGATCTTTCCAGCATGAACTACTCTTCGTTGCTCTGCCTTTTCTGTTAGTCCTTACCAAATACTATTTTACTACGTGGATCTCTACATGTGAAGACTTTCTTTATGTAGGCACTATTTGTATCTGGCGGTGCAGTACGGCTGATCCACAGCTCAGAATTCGCTCTATTTCGCGCAGCAGTTCCCAGCAGATGATCGATGGGCAGCTAAGGACTGTCCGCAACGAGGTGGAGGATAATTTGGACACTGGTAATGGACTGATGGTCCGCACAAAAAAATCCAAAGGGAAATCGGATGTCATGAGCAAAAGAGCCGCTGCTCGTATGAAGTATAGGCTGGATACGGGAGTGGCACGTTAAATTTGCTGCAGGGAATGGCTTTTTGTTTTTAGAAAATGCATTTCAAGAAAAGTCTGTGTTTCATTATAGATTCGTTGGTGGCAGAAAGGGTTGGGTGTATGTTTGTGGAAGCGCACGTCCAAGAAGGAAAGAAATCAGGAAAACTGTTCTCTATCAGCTCGATATGGACGGACAACTGCTTCCTACTGTGAATTTGTATCCAATGAAAAGGAACTTCCAATCCTTTACCTAAATTTCGCATCAGAACGCATCTCTTCCACTTTAACCCGTCCGCCATCCGTCGGGCCCTAATTGTAAATCATAAACATTCGTATAGAATGTAGATCCAGATCTACTTTCTAAAATATGGAGTCCGTAGTAAACTGGGCCAAGACCAGGGCGCCTTGTTGACGCAACTTGTGCGTTTCGGAAGACATCTAGACAAGATATCTACCTGTCTCTGCGGCTACCTGTGGGGATCTGTTTTTGGATTGCTCTAATTTGTGAAGGGTTTCGTAGCGCTATGAGAACTCAGACCTTAGCTGGAACTCGGTTTTAGGGTAAAAGTGTCGCGTTTCATGGGTTTTAAATGGACTGTGCCTCGTCGCGCCGCACTGCTTGAAAGCGTTTCGTTTGACAGATTTATGCATACTTTCAGTTTTTGTGGATCGTCGGATCGCTGATGCTGGACGCATCTCTGCTTGAGTTCCCGAAATGTCTGGTAATTTATGAGATGCATTTTGTTAGCTCAACACATTTTATTAGTTTTATTGCCAGGGCCATTTGAAAACGATAGCCTGTGGAATGTGGAATGTGTGGAGGAAATAATATGCTAAATGGTTTTCGGAGTAGGATTTGTATATCTCAAAAAGTGCTTACATAACGGAAAAACGCTGCGAGAGGAGTCTCACATTTGCAGAGATTTGCAGAGTGTAAAACGAGTCTTATATGTACATATGTACGATCATCTCTTTAGACCCCCAAAGACCGTCATTTACTTTAATCTTATTTGCATAATCCTTTCCAGCAGTTCGTCCCGACAATCATTTCTGCGACCCATCATTTCTGCGGCGTCTCATTCTGTAAATTTGTCACGTAATCAAATATGAAATTATACCAAAAATAAATTGCATAAAAAAGCCACACACTAAAATACTCATGATATTTATATTTTCGGCACACGACAACCACATCCAGACCCAACAAAAAAAACAAGACAAGACATTTTTTGGGCATCAGCCTTTTGGCCATGCCATAATCTTGAACAGAATGTTCCTCCAACAAAAAAAAAGGCCAGCGACTTGTTTGTCATATGTGATGATGATGGCTTAAATTTCTGAGGGAGAACGATTTGAAGGTGGTGGGTTTTTGTTTTAGAGAACAGGATGGAATCGAATTTTCATTGTGTCTAAACTCAAATTGAAAGAAAACTACATAAGGGGTATGTGGGAATAATAAGTATACAGAATTATATTACACAGAAAAATCATTCTCCAAAATCAGAGCCTGTGCAAAAATGAGCAGCAACTCGAGGAAGTCTGCCAAGAAACAGTCCTGCCCCAAGGAGGTGCACATCGAAGACGTCCGCCTGGGCGAGAGCTTGATGGAGGATATGGGTCGTCGTTGTATGAGCGAGGTCTTTGCGGATGTGTGGTTCTGCGTCGAGGATCAGCGACTGCCGGCCCACTGTGTGATTTTGGCCGCACGGAGTGACTTCTTTCGCGAACTTCTGCACGGCTCTATGCCAACGGATCGTCAGGTACCCCTGGAGGTGGCATTGGCACCCTTCAAAGTGATCTTGGCGTACATTTACACGGGCACACTTTCAATCTCTACTCTACCCTTGGTTGCCATCGTCGATGTGTTGGGCGTAGCCCGTCTATATGGATTGGAGAAAGTAGAGATGGTCCTAAACAAACGTCTCGAACAGAGTCTGCACCTCAACAATGTGTTCACGGTGCTAGGCGCAGCGCGTCGCAACAGTCTGGAAGATTTGGCCGAACGATGCTTTCAGTTCATGGACCGAATGGCGTCCGAACTTCTCAAAGAAGAGTCCTTCCTAATGGTGTCCAAAGCAACACTTGCGGAAATCCTGACCCGCGACACCTTCGTTGTCTCAGAGGATGCGATCTTTTCGATTGTATGCGAGTGGATTGGCCGTCATCCGATGGAGAACATCCAGTCGCTGTTCTCCTTGGTGGGACTGCCCCTCACGAGTGAGGAAGATCTAGTGGTGCGTCCCGCGTCCCGCGGCCACGTAGAGCCTGAGAATATTCCCAAGTTTGTGCCCTGCCATACCACCTTGTGGCCAGAGAAGGATGTGGCCTTTGATAAATATTTTCTGCGGCGTATCAGTGGCAGCCACAATGAGCCATTGATTGATCTGAGGCACTGTTATAGGATCAATTTCATAAGCGTCATAGAACGGCTAAAGTCTGCGGAGATCTGCTACGATGTGGAGGTCTCTTGCGATCGGAATCGGTGGGATCGTGTGGGACGGATGATGCCAGGTGGAATGCCGTTACCCGACGTTTGGATAAATATCTACTTTGCGCTACGCCCCATTCGATTTATTCGAATTGTGAATCCCGAAAATGGACGCAAAGATTTGCTAAACTACTTCGAGTTGAAGGCCAAGCACACGACGAAGATATTATAGATGATTCCAATAGACAATCTTTTGCAGCAATCCCACCACTTGTCCGGCAATTCAACAGCTGCCTCATTTCGCACAGGAAGTCGGGGGAAGCCTTATCTGACAGATACAAAAACGCAAATGCCGCCAAATGATGGGACTTTGTTGGTTTCGATGTTTAATATTGTTTATGATTTGAATCATTTGTTTGTAATTGGATCTTGATAATTGCCCGGTGGACACAGGGTGACACAGAAACTCCCCCATCCCCGACACATCCATAAGATTAGACGCATCTTATCAGCGGTTCGTGCAGCTAAGCAAACACATTGAGTTTACGTGTATTTATTTGTTCAACTGGCAAATATTAAAGCTCCATCCATCCAGTCGCATGATAATCGACAAAGGAAAGGGGTGGCAATTTGCATAGTCGGATCTTTGTGTGGAGAACTTCCTGTAAACATGGGAAAAAGTTGTTCCTTTAAGAGGGGCAACACAGGAAAAGTAATGAAAAACTCATATTTTTATTGTACTTTACAAAACAAAAGTCTGAGAACATCAAATCCATTGTCACATAAATGTTTTTGCTTAAATTATATTTGTCTTTACGTTTTTGTTTTGTGTGCGCAAAGGAAGAGTTTTCTAAACAACAATTAAACTTTGAAAAAATAAATTGTTTGCTTGTGAAACGATTTACACTTGTTGGAAGAGTGTTTTACGAGTTTTTTAAAAATATATTTAGAGATCTGTACACTCTTCCAAAACCATCTGTCAGTCGATGCCTTGGACTCTCTCTCAGCTTGAAGTATTGGAAGTATTTTCAAATAGACAATGAATGAAAGGAAATTGGTTGGTTCATTCAAGGAGGCAAGGTTTTTGCGGCACAAAGACACCGCAGGAGCTGCTTCTTCGATTGTCGTTCGTTTCCGTTTCCTGTCCTGCGGCGCAACGAATGCGATTTAATTTTTATTGTCCGCTGATGCCAATCCATACAAAAGTCATTTGTTGCCGCTTCAGTGTGAGTGTTGGCCACTCAGCAGTGAAGTGTTGGCCATCAAGCAGGCAATGGTTCTTGGCCAGGTGTTCACTTGAGCACTCCCTCAGGTAGGCCTTGTAGGGAGCCTTAGAGACTCTTTGGCTAGTGAAACGGATAAGATTTAATTTTAATTAATTGATTAACCCACACATACCAAGAAGAGGTACAAACCACATACAGAAACAGGCCTAAACTGTGTGTTAAACCCATAAAGGACACCGCCTGGCAATTCATTAATTTGATGATGTCCTTTGCCAATCCTTTAGACCACACACACACACATTCGACATTCTATCCCAAGAGCTTTATTTAATACTTTATTTAATACTCACTTCGATTTGGCCTCTCTCATTCATTTTGCAATCAATTAATTTGCCATTTGGCCGATGCTTATCAATCATTGATTGATTTCCGCCCCGGCTACGTATTGTTGTGGGGGCCAAAAGCCGAAACACGCACCAAACAGTGGGAGATCTTTTTAATCAACCGCCGCCACACACAAACAATAAACAAAAATCAAACAAAAGCCCTCTTTTTAAATGTTTTTCGGATGTGGCTGATTATAATATAATTGTTTAACGTTTTCCCCGCAAATCAATATCCATAATCAATGTGGGATTAAAGTGCTGGCTCCGCTTTTTAGTCCAACAAAAATCTCCATAAAATAATGATTAAAAGTCCGACAGACAGCATTTAAAACTGAATTATATTTTAATAAAATTTCGCAGAAAGGATTGTTACTTGTTTACTTGTCAAATTGAATGGAACATAATATAATTGAAGCCGATTATGGCCATATTTTTATTGAGAATTTTAACACTTTGCGCGCTTTCAAAAGACTAATTGGTTATAGCGAATTGAAATGTTTTTTATTTATCCGCTTATAGAGTAAGAAGGAGGAGGTATAAGGGAACTTGCACTGGAATGTATGTAGAACACAAGAGTCCCTGATGTGGGTTAAATTTGTGCTATTGTTTGGTTATAAGGCATTTAGTAGTAGTAGAGATCTTAGCGGACGCTCCTTATGCTCGCACGGGCATTATATTCTGGGTTGAGAGTGGCGTTCTCAGAGAGAGCGATAGAATGAAGCAATTGATTGCGAGAGCATGTAAGCTTTAGTAGATGAGGATTATTGTATTTATGTACATATGTATGTTTATGCATGTACATATATTTCAGAGACGCACACGTAAATTCCTGCTCTTACGTTTCTGTTGTATTTTTCCACCGAGCGCAGTTCAGTCGCAATTGTCTTATCTTTTGATCTCCATTTCATCTACAAAAGCTTTGCTTCTCCCACGCAATGCCCGCTCTCGCAATTGATTCGTTCCAGCTCTCTTTCATCAGTTCCTTTTATCGCTCTGTCAGCAACAACAACATTAAGTCTGCGACGACACTCTCGCTCTCTGAGCATATAACGTCGTGCTGCTTGCACGAAACGGGACACTCATAAACACTCAAAGCTCTTCCACTGTTTTGTCTGTCTTTTATAGATTTTCCATTCAATTAATTAACTTACTTTGCTGCTGCCCTTTTGGCCCAAAGAACTGACAATTGCCGGCGAGCTAATCAGTTAATTGTGTCCCGATTTGAGGTCCCAGGTCACGTAAAGTAAGCCCTGAAACTGTTTTGGTGCGTGAGAGGGCTTGGGCTCCTTCCGCTTGAGTTGGCCCGAGACAGAGCCATGTTTAAACAATCGCAAATCAAACAAATCACGCGAGCGTAACGTTCCGATAAGGCACTAGGTCCTGGGGCACAGACATTTGTCTGATTTGTGGGTCGCCTGCCTCCTGGCTTTGGTACTCGTATTTGTCTGATTCTGAAACCCCATTGTGTCAATACTGATGTCCGTCTTTGACTCTCGAGCTTGGGCATCTGCTCTGCTTAATCGTCGGCCAATTCGCTAAGATCTCTGGCAGTACTCTCCCACGCCTGTCACCGCCGCGGCTGTGGGCCTCTTCTTTTGCGGTTTCTGCTTCACGTTTTGCTAATTTCTCCGCATTCATTTTCTTCACTCGTTGTTTGGCCATTTTCTGCGGTCTCCTCTGCACCACACGCCCGTATTTGTGCTTTCCATCGAATCGAAATCGAATTGAAAGTGAAAACTGAAAACTGAAAACATGAAAACCTGAAAGTGTGAGTGGAAAATGATTTGCAATCGAACCCCACTTTGATTAAAGCATTCAGTTTGATTAGCTCTAATGAGGCAGCACGGCGACTGGCGACTGGCGACTGGCGAGTGTCTCGAGTCGATGGATGGTTGATGGGTTTATGCAATCTTCTGTGGGCCCCCCACTTGCCACACACCCACTATGAGCCCCTCACACTGCCTAGACCTCTAGGGGACCCGCACAGTTGTTGAAATTAATTTCAAATTTGTTTCTCTCAAAAATAATAATGGAAGAAAGGCATCAGACCACAAAATGTACTCGCATTTGGGCTTCTGTTTCTGTTACTCTAAATGTGCGCCACATGGGATTGCTCATACCCTTTTTTCTTCGGTTGTAATATGATGTTAATTGAAGAACGAAAGATATTTTTCTCAGAACTTATCAATATGCTATAGCGTACTCGTTTATTGATGATAATATCCACCTGATCGTTGGTCGTCTTCTATCCTTGCTCTTCCCAATATTCCATCTTTACAGAGTATCCCATATTCCAATCTTCTGTTGATTTGCCGTCTGCCCAGCAAGAGTGCCACTTGTTCTGATTAACCCTTTGATGGTAGCACAAATAATTATAAATTAATGTGCTGCCAGCTGCCTTTTATGCCCCACCAAAACAGCCCCCCATTGCTCCACTCCACTCCGTTCCTCTCCGATTCTTCTCCGGGCTCCTCCCCTTCTTTCGCATTATATTTTGTTCTCTCTTTTGTTTTTTACTTTACGTTTTTGTCGTTGTTGTGTTTTTCGGTTGATAATATAATTAAGTGACGTTTGTTTTTGTTTTAATTATGCCGCTTTTGATGTTTTTCGCGTGTTTTTATGCACATATTTTTCTGTAAAAATGATTGAATATCATTTATAATTTATATCGATTTAATTGTATTAATTTTTTTTTCAATGATTGTGATTATATTTTGTGAATTTTGCGGTCATTCATTATGTAATTAGGGCTATGCTTTTAGCCCTAATTGGTGGCTTTTTTGGCCACTCAATTGAGGTTTATGGATCTGGGAATTATTGATAGATGGATTGGTGGAAAACCCCTTAAAAATTACTAAACAGTAATAGAATTTTCCAAATGATAAGTGTGGCTAATTAGTTGATGTTGTTGAAGTGTTTTTATATGTGGTCCAATTTTCATTTAGTTTCTACCTTTGTTGGGATGAGGCTCGTACCATTTATAGGTATTTAGATAAGTATTTGAATACTTTTTAAATTTGAATTTAACTCTCTTTCAAGTTTTCGTGGGCATTGCTGCTTTGCTGGTTGCCGGGAATCGCCAATGGTACGATTTTCACAAATACATAAATTTGCCCATCATAGGAATTGCAACTTAAGATCGCGGCAGTTCCATAAAGTTTCTAAATAATGTAGAATACGCTGTGAATATTTAAACGGTGACATAAAGAATATGGTTAATGGAGAACCTAAAGCGGAGGCACATCAATCAGATCATAAAAAGAATAGGGAGAACGCAGAAAGAACTGCAGTTTAAATAAAATTAAGTTCTGATGATCTATTCTTAAGATTTCAGCAAACAATTTGAATAAATATAGCACAAAGGCTTCTGTTTCTTCGCGAATAAAGTGGATGATTTGAGTATTTCCATTTTTATAGCATAAAATGAATGATATCTCATACACAAAGACTCTGTCTAATCAACCCTAAGAAAGATTATTCCGATACCTTCAAAGTTGTCGCCTTTAGATCGTGGCCCAGCAAAACTCTTCTAAAAGAACCCCTTTTGATTTCGAAAAGAACTTACTTTCCCAAGAGCCCCACCCAAAACCCGCTTTAAAGAATAGTTTCTGGACAATTTTGAAAGGCCTCCTCATGGACTTGCTACCGTTTTGAAGATATTTTGGCAGGCCATTGAGTCTACGCCTTTCCCATGTGGCTTAAACAGCAAACCGGCTCTTCGGCTATCAATGGAGGAGGGAGGCTCGTTCATTCATAGTCGGCTTTTGCCAATTTGTCCGCCATTCAAACACTCACGATGTGTTAACATGTAAATTGATATCTCGATTGAGAACGAAGGCAGGCTCTAGTGGGGATAAGCTTTACGATCGACAGCGGATGAAGAAGGGGGAACTATAAATAAACCGATTTATATGCCCACAGACAATGAATAAACCCTGTAATGATGCTCTGCGAACGGATGAACCCCATCTAGAGCCCAGAGCCCAAACCCAGACCCAGACCCACTGATCAATGAATCTTTCTCGTGTGGTTTTATGTTGTCCATCCCATCCCATCCCCTCCCATCTCCACCCTTGGCCCTCTCCATTGTCTTTTGTGGCTTTTTGTCGTCAACCTTACACTAAGTTCATTGATAAAACTTGTTGTAGCTGTCGCTTCCTCTTTGTAAGTGATTTTTTCTCTCCCTCTCCCTCTCCCTCTCCCTCTCTCTCTCTGTCCCATTCTCTCAGTTAGTCTTTGGTATTTTTTCATTCAAATCCGGTCGGTGGTTGGTCTGGTCTGTTGGTCTCTTGGTCTCTATGTCGGTTGGTCGCTTGGTCTGTCGTCTGGTCTGTCGTCTGGTGTCGATGTCTCATGTGACTGCCGTGCCCCAGTAATCAGTTGATGTGGAAGTTGATATCGGAAATGGATTTGAGTAGCAAATATTTCACTGATTTTTTTTCGTTCTGAGATTGGTCTGGTTGTTTTTGGGTTTGTTGAAGCCTACTCTCAATGAGGATAACAACTTGGTTTAAATTAAAGATAAATAACGATAAAATGGTTAAAAACGATACCTTAAACGACGCCTAATTATTGTTACTGTACAGATAATATATTAAAACATAAGAACAGATTTCTTTCGACTTTTCGTATGTTCTCCTGAGCGCAAACATACGATAAATTTTGCAATTGAAAGCCTTGTATTTACCAGAAGTTAAGACGAAGTTATAAAGTGGCAACCCTAAAGCCCACAGATGAACTTTGATCTATTATAGTCGGATGTAGTCGGATAGATATTTTCAACTAAAATCTTTATATTTCTAGAATCGATCTATTATATTCTGCTTAGTTTTCTTTGCAATTTATTAACCGCTCATGCTGTGGGGGATACATTCAATACATAAAGTGCTTGTAATACCTTAGGTTCCAGAAGAGAAGACATACATAGATATATGTATATGTGTATGCGTGAATGCTCTGTGTGTGTGTGTGTGTGTGTGTGTGTGTGCAGGCCTCGTTGGAAATACAGCTGCTGCTGTGGTGATCTCTTCAGAGATCTTGCCTCCTTAGTTTGGCAATGCCTCGGCAATACTGTCGGGCACCAAATCATCGAGACTGCCCGGATAGCCCATGGGCTCCAAGGCGACTGCCGATGGAGCTGGCAGCGGAGCCGGGAAAGGAGCCGGAGCTGGAGCTGGAGCTGGCGCCGGGGCCGGGGCTGGGGCTGGATCAGGACTGGCAGAGAGGGCCACGAAATTGGCATCTAGTTTGTCCGACAGGAGCATGGGTTGTGGCATCATTGGCGATGCAACAGGAGATGGATTTGGATTGGGTTCTGCCACTGGATTGGGGCTGGGCTCGGCTACGGGACTGGGTGCTGGTTCTGGGAGGGGCTCCGGGAGTGGCTCTGGGGCGGGCTCCGGGAGGGGTTCTGGGGCGGGCTCTGGGAGGGGCTCTGGATCTGGGCTGGGCTCCGGCTCCGGCTCTGGGTCCGCCTTGGGCTTGGGATCTGCGTCAGGACTCGGCTCCGGTGCTGGCGATGGCACGGGTGAGCCATAGACGCCGTGCAGCACCGCAAAGGTTCCGACTATCAGGAAGACGGTGGCTATTTTTAGTTATTTTATTTTGATCGGATTATATTGATACCTTACCACATATGAAGGCGAAGACCGTAAGGAGTTTCATTTTCCTCTGAATGAAGAAGTGGCTGCCTCGGGGCAGACTTTTATAGCTAGCCAGTGGCACGGAACGAAGATTGGGGGCAATAATCAATTTAGTTCTATGACCAGACATGGTCTCTGATATGATTAATACTTTAGTGTTTGTTCATGGTTGTGCGATAGCAAATAATCAATTAATGTAAATTAATAGTGAAAAATAGTGAAGTTTATTGGGACAAAAGTTCTCCGACTGAAAAGGTACTCCAGGTGAATCAAAAACTATACTTAAGGAAGGATATTTCTACGAAATGAGAGTAAGGCACTCCATTGGAAAGGGAAAGAGATGAGCAGGAATTTTATAGTCAGAGTCTCTGTGGCATTCCGAGCTGCCTATTTGTTGATCTCCCCCGCTCTTACTTTTGTATTTTATCTCCGTTCTATGCGAACCTTATGAAAGGCACCTAATTCGAAGCCATTATAATATTTATTCAATGATTTTTCAATATTCCCTTCATACCCAAACGACTTTTTATGTAATGGTTTTGTAATTTCATTTATTTCAAGAACAAATATAATATAATACTTTTCATATCAACCCAAGGAGACCCTTCACAGAGCTTTAGATATCTCCAGATACCCTAAAGGGCTTGCTGTGCTTTGTCACTGGCTCCTTTTCCCAAGGATAGAGAGTGGGCTGCTCGGCACCAGACACCCAGAATCTACTTCCGATCAGACTGAGTATCACAGCTGCAAAAAGATGTGCAAAATAGTTTAGAATAGATAGTTTAAGGGGAGTCTTCACTCAAGAGGGGGACTCACCCATACCTCCGATGAGCAGCGACCAGTGCATATTGCTGGAACAGTTTTCCTACATCGAATGTGCCCTCGACTTCGCTCGTCCGACACTTTATAACGCACTCTCATAGCCATGGCCTTAGCCCCATAATGGACTGTTGGCGCTATAAAATCAATTTACAACACATCACAGCATCGAAAGCCATAAAAACAAGTTTATTGATCGTTACAATTTCCACAGAGAGGAGCGAATGTTCTAAGACACTTTGATTGGACAGAGAAAGCACAGTCTTTGAGGAGTCGAGTACTGAAATAAGCGACTCTCTCCAGACATTTCTTGTTGTCTTTGTGGAATGAAAATCAGTGTTCCAAGTCCATTGTAATATCTGAAGATCGAAGCCTAAACCCTATACTTGTGTCTTTATCCACGAAGTTTTTTACCTGAGAAAGGAAAATAATTTCCCCACTCCATTTTCAATCTATAACTATTATGATTATTCATCTTTCCTGCATTTTTACGCCACATTCCTAAACATTTATATAAGACCGAGGATAATACATTACCTAATCGAGCAGAACCAATCCCAATGCCATGCTTTATACGTTATAAAACCTCTGAAAAGTCTTCCCCGAGAAGAAATGTCCACCAGAAATGGGTTTGATGCGGAAACATATATCGTTGGGGATCTGTAAGTGAATCAAAGATCCTGTTTAGACACTTCCTTGGATAAATATCTCAATATCTGGCTAGGCCTCTGGCTTGTGGCAGGAATCAAGCGAATCTCTGGCCTTCCAACACAAAAATCTGACCATCAATGTAGCGCCTATCCAGAGCCAGATCTTCTACAGGTACAGCCTGGACCCGGTGGCCGAATGCAACTCCAGGACGGGATCAAGGGACTCTATTTGATCCTGCCACCGGGTAAATCGGAACATGAGATCCGACCTGATGATGAGCAACATCAATTGGATCCACTGCTGCCGAACTATCAACAGGATTTCAAAGGAGGGGACTCTGTATACTATGTAAAGACCACAGCATACATTCCGGTCCACATAAAGCCGTTCCAAGAGTGTGAGAGAAGTCACGCACCACCGGATCCTCCACCACCAATATTTACTCCTGCTCCGCCTCCACCTCCGCCTCCACCTCCGCCTCCACCTCCACCTCCACCTCCACCTCCGCCTCCGCCTCCGCCACCACCTCTCTTTACTACGCGGGGTGTAAGTTTTCCCCCTCATGGCAATCCCTATCCTTATCCCCCACGTACTCCTCGACCTATATTTAATCTGCCTACTTTACCTCCAGACGTCATGAGCGAAGGCTGTATTGACGACTGTCCCTAATCGAAAGAGTCCATAGGCTCTCCAACATCCATTGGAGAGAGCAAGGAAATAAATAATGTAGGAAGTTGACTGTAGAAAGCTTTCATTCCAAGTAAATCTTGTCTTTATTCAAATTCATGAATCTGTTCTTCATGGTGGGAACCGAAGCGCTGTCCTTTTTCACGACTAGAGCCTAGCCACGTCCTTGTAGGGACCCCTTGGTGGAAACCAAAATCTGGGGTCATCCTGAGCCTTCACCATTGTGCTGCCAAAGTTAAGGTACCTTCCTGCAACCAGCCAGAGGCCTACCCAGAGATTCAGCTAAGCATATAGTCAGTATCTATCTATATACTCGTACTTACATATCGCCAACAGTATATGTTTCCTCACCGAAGTCATCTTTGATGGACTGCTGTTAGCGCAAGATTTCACCGGGGTTTTATAATGGAAAAGGAATTGGAATTAGCACTGGTTTAGGCAGCTGATTATCTTCGGTCTTATATGAACGATTGGAAATCAGGTGTGGAGAATTTACGCCAACTACTCCGTCCTTTCAAATGGAATGAGAAGTACATTTTCCCATTATTTTATGAGTAATAATATGATTTGAAAAGTTCTTAGAGCTTAGGGCTTGTACATTGTAAAGCATGTATGAGATTTGTAGCCCCCCCTGCAGGGACTTGGCTGCACCCAAAACAAATAACTTTTCGAATATTTGAAAAGTTTTGTTAGTTGCAGAGTTCTCGAGTTTCAAAGTTTTCTCCACCACGTCCCCCGAAAAGAGCCCCTACCAAAATGTTACATAGACATTAATATGCGGCATGCATTCTGGAGTGGAAATGGAAATAGTAATGGAAATGGAAATGCGTGTGCTTTTGGGAGTGTAAATGACTTGTAAATGATGCTGTTTGTGGTCAGCGGGAGGCTCCATAGATTGACACACATATCACCCATTGAATATCGATGATAACTGGACCCGAAGTATCTCATGTGGTAATCGAATTACAGACACAGATACTGATTTCCCAACATCAAACTCTCAAATTGGAATTAACATAATTGGAGGCACAAATCGTTTTTAAATTGGGGCTCGTTTACGGTTTCAATCGAATTCCAATGGAAAATAAATACAATTTTGCAATAAAAAAGCGAAAGAGAGAGACAGGAAGAGATCTATGAGATGCTATAAAATATTTTCTATTGCCTCAGATAGAACATGGATCAAAAAGTATCTTCTCCTCCATCAAAAAGTATCTTTTCCTTAAGAAAAGACTTTGCGTTTCATTGCTGTAACAAATGTCGCGACAATTTGTTGGGCCTGAGCGATATTTAATGTTGATTTATGGGATGCAATCCGTGAGATACAATTGCTTGCCGCAGTCGTTGTGTGTGCGCGCCTCGAATGCGATTGAAAATTGAAAGTTAGCGGAGTGTTAAGCAAACATTAGCTGAACGCTGAAAGTGAAATTCGCGCCATCAGCATCGCATTTTTAAAGGCATTATTAAAAACGTTCTTGGCCCGAACATCAGCCATTATAATTAACTGGCAAAAACCGAAAAAAAAACGAAAACGAAAACGTTTCGCACGATAAATCATCCAGCATTAATATATCATTTTAATTATGAAAACCGCTCCGACAGACGGCGGAATAAAACAACCAAAAAGACAAACCAAAATCACAAGTGCCCAAAAAATTAGCAAAGGCGCAGAACGAAGCGAAATAAAAGTAGATATATTGCTGCACATCTCTCCGAGGATGAGGCAACTTCCCAAAAAAAAGTCTGGGCAAAGCGATATTTTATTTCTAGGGAGTAACAAAAAGACATTAAAGAAAAGATTTAGGAGATATTTTCAAAAATATGTAAATCGCTAAACTGTAAGAAATCTGCCAGGATATCTCCGAAAACATCTTCCAAAATGCATTAAATTTTCCCTTTCATTAATTATGGTTTCAGGTGTACTTTTAAATCCGTAATCTCTTCAAAAATAAGCTCCTAAAATTCGCTCCTTCGTAATTCTCGGCAGCCCAAAATTCGGTATAAATCAAATTATTTTTCGACACCACACAAAACCGAAAATTCTACAGAAATTTGATGAAACCATAAACCGCCAAAAAGCATTGAATGCAAATTCCGAATTCGCAGTAAAACGTTTGCCGATGCCACAAAAAAGAAGCCCAAAGAGGGAGCTCTCGCTCCCGTGGTTGAGTTATGAAGGCCAAACGATGTTTGTTGGAGCCTTTAAACGCCTTTCCGCTTGACCTGGCCAAACAGGCCCTGGCCACCACCTGACGACAGCGGATGACAGCGGATATGCTCTCCCTTCTGTTCTGGCCTGCTCTGCTCTGCTCTGATCTGATCTGCCACCTGTTGCCAATCAGCTGCTTTAAAAGTTTGCTGTTTTTTTGGTTTTGGCTTTAATAAGGCAGGGGCTGGGGCTGCAGCTCGTGGCACTTGCCACCGCTCAGGTGGCAGACGCCGCAATCGGAAGTCCTGGTTTATGACATGGATACGCACCAGCGTATAGGAGTACTATGGCCAGCGGTCATACGATATCAGCTTGAGCTGCCACCTGGTCCTTCGTTTTCGATCATCGGATAAGGTCAAGTGCTGTTCAGAGGCCATAAATCGATATGGTTTCTTCAGATGATCGTTTAGCGGAGAGTACGCCCTCAGAGTGGATTGCACAATCATCTATAATACCATTTACTCATATCTAATGCATCTAAAGCACCTCTAAGAGGCACACCACTTGGCGGGAAGATGTCCAACACGGTGGGGGCCTCCACTCAAAATGTGGATAGAATTGTTGTGGCTTTTGTATCTGAGTGTGCCGGCCACTTGATTGATTGCCTCAATTGTAGTTCAAGTCTTCTTGTGGCTCGTTTTTGTATGATTTACAGCTACTATTTATAGGAAATGTGCAGAGCACGCAAAAAACAAGGTATTTGCGAGGGGAAGTCGGCATCGCATCCCACTTGACAGACGCCGCTGCCATCCGGAGAGCAGCAACAGCAGCAGCAGAGGCAGATGCAAGATGCCGAGGTGCCGAGATGCCGAGATGCAAGAGGCAGAGGCATAGTCTGAGGCAAGTGCACCTCTATATACAAAGTGCCCCAACAATTTTGTTTACAATTGGAGCACGTCTGTTTTGGCTGCGGCAGCTGCTGCTGCTGCTGACCAACGGAACGGTCGTTGGCCATTAACTTGCAGCCGTCGAAAGCTGAGTCTGCAATTACAACATGATATATATACTACGAGCACATATACTTCCACAGATATATGTGTAAGTATATTAAGAATAAAGTTCTGTAACTGGAGCATGCTTTCGTCTACAGCTCGCATCTCGAGGTAACATAACACCCTCCTCTTTGGGGGGGAGAGACCCGCACAGACCCCTGAGGAGAGTCCCGTACTGCGGGCCGGCCGATGGTGGGTTCTGTGTACTTTTCACACGCTCATGTGAAAAGCGTGCTATGATACCATTTTCACATTTCCACATTTCCACACAGCCATTCTATACAAATATTTAACTGTTCGACAAAGGAATGCCATGCTAATATGTTGCCCGACTACAAGCTATAATTTTGTATACCCTGGAAGGGGTTTACTTTGTAGGCAATTCATGGAGATCTGAGCACGGGTGGATCTGTCTCTAAGAACTTTGTAAGTCTTGTGAAAAGCGTGCTGTTGATCGAAATTTGTGAGCTATAAATCTGATTAAGATCACAAAGCAGTTTTAAAAGACTTTGATAACACAATTGCTCAATCAGTAACTGTCTGTAAGAACTGGGGTTAACAGGAGATCCAAATGAAAGAAAATTGGAATAATGGCTTGTTATCTAAAAAATGATGTTTCTATATGGATTTCATATAGATCGAATTATGAAACTTGAAAGAAAATCTATCTAATCTATGGATAACCTTACTCTAATGATGTTCTCCTTAGTTTCAAGGGTATCTAGCCTTCGTTATTGCCCGCGATCTCTGCTTGCCTCTTAGTTCTTCTGTTCGATGACCTCCTAATTAGGGCCTGATTCATGAATTCTTAATTGCCCTACCCTGGGCTAGTTGCATAAGCATCCATCTGGCAACCTACCAACCACCATGCCGTGTTTCAGGCTAATTAAATCAATCTCAATCGCAGGCAAACAAACCGAATTGGTTCCGCATTTTTCGCACAAAGTTTTTCACAACTTTTCGAATCTATCCATCCGTCAGCGCCATCCAACCGTCAACCGTCAACCGTCATCTCCATCTATCAAAGATCTAATGAAGCTGAGACTTGGCCCATCATTCGTGTTTTGCCATTTCCTTATAATTCGCAAATTATCGGAACCACAAAAAGTTTCGGTTTTATCTCGCTGTGTTTTTATTTTGGTTTATTTTTGGGGTTTCTGGTTCGTTGATGATAATTTCACTTTCATTAATAATTTTTTGGACTCTTTGAGTCTGTCATAATTAATTTGAGTAATTTTTTGTTGTTGTTTATGCTTTTGTTTTATTTTAGTAAAATAAATCATGGCAGAAAAGAGCGGTAGACAGAGAGAGAGAGAGAGAGAGAGGGAGGGGAAAATTATGACAATGTCTCGGGGATTCAAAAATTACGTTTGACTTTTTGACTTTCTTTTCGCTTCGGTGGCTTTTGTGTGTGCGTGTGTGAGAGTGTGTGAGTGCATGAGTGTGCCGAGTATGTGGCCAAAGTTCAGGGGTTTATTACATTGGCTTTTTAATAGCAAGTCCGAGTTACGAGCTGCCATAAGAGTCTTTAACCCATAAATGGCCAGAAACGTGCTCATCATAAATTTTCAACTAAGTTCTAGCCATGAATTATGGTAATTTTTTGTTGCTACTCGTAGGCAGTCGCATGTGGTGTTTATAAATTGTTTTTAAAGTCTAAGGTGAAAATTTATGAGAGACCAAGCTGTATCATTTACCTTCAAGTAATTTCATATTTATTTAATGTTTATTTTGGTTTTGTACGTCTTTGGGGGGACCTTTTCAATGACATTCTTGTACAGTTTATGATACTTGTTGATTAAAATCTGATTTATAAATATGGGATATGTAATGTGGCATAAAATACTGCCTGTTAATTTTGGTTTTTCATTTAAGCTTCGTTTCACTTAATCAACCGAGTTTTTCCCCTGTCTGTGTTCTCGAACTCTCTGTCTGCCTCGCCCTTTCAACTTTGAGCACCATCCAAGCCCATCCGGCGTCACTCAGCTGAGACTTGTTGTTGCTGTTGTTCTCTCTAGCCCCATCCTCGGTAACCAATTTTCCTGCGAGGAAAGCCCACATGCCGGTCAAAATCGAATGGGAAACTAGTTTTCCTCCATACAATCGCCCAAGAACGCCCACTGGCACGCAGAGCAGCAGCACCGCAATACTTCAAACATCAAGCGCATGCGTGACAACCCACACACAT